TATCTCAATGCTTTTTATCTGGCTGAATAAAGGTCAAATCAAATAACACACACACACACACACACACACACACACACACACACACACACACACACACACACACACACACACACACACACACACACAATGTTCGTATTTAGTCTCCTGATTTTAAATGCCCTAGTATGGTTTTGTCACCATTTCCATAGCCCCACCAAAAATATTTTCCACCAGCCGCCACTGGTAACACTGTAATATTACAGATCAACAACACAGATACAATTATCATGTATTCATTTTATATACATTTTATTTATATAATTTAATCTATTTTTTGTTTGTTTTATCTGAGTGTTCCAGGGTATTCTCTGAATACCTTGAAGGCCCTGACGGTTCGCACATACATTTTACAATGCATGATCAGAAGTTCATTGTATTTATCTCACTATTGTTTTATTCACTGATGTGAATCGCACTCCTCGTAACATGTACCTCCTAGCAGCAGAAATCATAACGTCTTTTAGATTGCTCGGCAAATAAAAATCCAAGAGAAAATCTGTTTAAATCTGTGTGAAAAAAAAAAAAGCTCTGTTTCTTTCGGTGTAAATTGGGGAAACAACTGAAAATGATAAGCTTAAATCTACGGCACACATTAGCTGCCTACAATATATTTTCTCTCCTCTCCTGCTACAGTATCTATTAGCAGACCCGAAGAGAATGTCGTCTAGATATGCCTCACAGTCATTACATATTGTATCTTAAACAATACTTAACATTTGCACAGTAAGTCTTACACTTCCTTTTAATACAGCTGGCCCTGGAGAGGAATAAGGAAAAGTGTTAGGAGCCTAAACAAAGCCTTCTAAGAGGATTCATTAAGCTCTGCACAAAGCTTTATACGTGTTTGCATTTCCGCCTCCCTGATGTTCTGCACTCGCTGTCAGGGTAATGGGCCACATAGGTAATAATGCAAACAGCATAAAAAAAGCTATTGTGAAATACATTGAATAATAGATGCTTGCTGTAATGAGAACAGCAAATTATTTAAAAACACTGTCGAGCTGTAAAAAGCCTTTCATTTAGAGACTACGCCTAAGAGAAAATAAGATTACTCATCAGAAATCTTTCACAAAATTGCTTTCCGAAAGATACAAGGTGTATTTAAGACTCACTGCAAACACTGATTACTTGTTTTAAATATAAATGTAGGGATACAACTGCACAGTGTTCCTTTTAATGTTATAAAAAGTTCTTGTAAGTCATTATTGTGAACATAAAGGAAATACAAATTATTGATCAATAATTTATACATCATTCTGATATTACTCCTCAGAACATTGGAGACAGTGTGAGATATGAGCTGCCGCTTCACCCTTGGTAGATGGAGCAAGTAGATGGCCCTAAATGTGATGTGAAAAGTGTGGATGTGATAGAGAATGCTCTTTTGCTGCAGGCCCATTGTGCTGTAAGCTGTGTATTTATGAGTCGGCATCACGCAGTTCACTAAGAGGTCAACGTTGTATACGGTTGGTTTCTGTGAGCCTTGTGTTCACTCGGGTGTCAGAAAACGACTCCCTCTGTGCATTAGCTGTGCCATAACCCGATGTGGGGGAGGGACACTGAGAGATAGACAGGAAAAAAGGTCAGGATGACGGATAAACATAGCTTATCATATGGGTTTTTTTTTAGCAGAGAGACCCTTTATTATTAAAGAAGCCCTACTATGCATTTTGGGAGTTCCCCCTTCCCTGTAGTGTGTTCAGAGATGGCAAAAGTACACACATCCTTTACTCAAGTAGAAGTACAGATACTCGTGTTTTAAAGTACTCTGGTAAAAGTAAGAAGTATGGGCTTTGAAATGTACTTCAGTAAAAAGTACCCATAACTAGCAGCTGTTTTAAAGAGTACCTGACCTCCCTTTATATTAATAGAACAATAATGTCATTGTTAGCTAATGAATATTTCCATGCTGAACAACGGCAACATGACAACGTTTCCATTGGTCCCTCTTCTTTAGAGAAGACCAGGAAATTATGGATACACAGATCGTGTTCAAATCAATAGGCACGCAATGACTCTAAATAATAATGATCACGCCACCAAACGCACATTCAGACTAAAGGAACCAGCCTGTTTGGAAAATGTGAGAAGTAGAAAGTACAGGTATTTGTGTTCAACATGTAAGAAGTAGAAAGTACAGGTATTTGAGTTCAACATGTAAGAAGTAGAAAGTACAGGTATTTGTGTTCAACATGTAAGAAGTAGAAAGTAGGCAAAAGTACACACATCCTTTACTCAAGTAGAAGTACAGATACTCGTGTTTTAAAGTACTCTGGTAAAAGTAAGTAGTATGGGCTTTGAAATGTACTTCAGTAAAAAGTACCCATAACTAGCAGCTGTTTTAAAGAGTAACTGACCTCCCTTTATATTAATAGAACAATAATGTCATTGTTAGCTAATGAATGTTTCCATGCTGAACAACAGCAACATGACAACGTTTTCATTGGTCCCTCTTCTTTAGAGAAGACCAGGATATGATGGATACACGGATCGTGTTCAAATCAATAGGCACGCAATGACTCTAAATGATAATGATCACGCCGCCAAACACATATTCAAACTAAAGTAACATGTCCGTTTTGAACATGTAATAAGTAGAAAGTACAGGTATTTGTGTTCAAAATGTAAGAAGTAAAAGTAAAAAGTCGTCAGAAAAATAAGTTGTGGAGTAAAGTACTGATACCAGAAACATTTACTTAAGTACAGTAACGAAGTGTTTGTACTCAACTACTTTCCACCTCTGCTGACAGGTCATGCAGAAGACCAATCAGAAGTTCCTGGACCTCCTCAACGAGCTGATAGACATGACGACCCGGGACCTGAGCAAAAACGAGAGGACAAAGTACGAGACGCTCATCACCATCCACGTCCACCAGAGGGACATCTTCGACGAGCTGGTGCGTGCACACAGGGACGGACATAAATATTTATTTAAATATTTTCGTCATTATATCATATTTCTCTCTCAGGTGCGTCTGAACGTGCGGTCTGCGTCGGACTTTGAGTGGCAGAAACAGTCGAGGTTTTACTTCCTGGAGGACACGGACAGATGTGTGATCCAGATCACAGATGTGGAGTTCAGCTACTGCAACGAATACCTGGGCTGCACAGACAGACTGGTGATCACCCCGCTGACGGACAGGTACACACACACACACACACACACACACACACACACACACACACACACACAAATCACACACACACACACACACACACACACACACACACACGTATGGAGAATGAGAGTAAAGAACAATTATTATTTAGGTAATTATTTATCTAATATCTCATTCCATTTACTTGTGTATAGACTCTTCTTGCACTTATTTTTATTTACTTGCACATCTCGAAACATTCTCTGGCACTATTTTATCTGTTTTATTTCTTTTACAGGGTTCATACACTTTTTCACCAATGATCATGACTTCTCCATGACCTTCACCTCATTTTCCATGACCAAAAAAATTACTCTCTCAGCGGTCGGCTACCACAAGCCACTGGAGACTAGAGGGCGTGATTGTAAAAATCTCTCACCAGCAAAATATCTCAACAGTTAAAAGCCATTTTACGTTTCATTACTATACCATACAGTATTTATTATCATTATAGTATTACTATATCGGCGACTAGATAAAATATAAATTATATTTGATGCAACTTTGGTTACATTTCCATGACTTTTTCCAAAACTTTGGGAAAAATATTGTTTTCTATAACTTTTCCAGGGCCTGGAATTTAATTTTGAATTTCCATGACTTTTCCAGGTTTTGATTGACCGTAGGAACTCTGGTTTTATGTCCTATGTATATTCGTGTTGCTCTGTTGGAGGAGGACTTCAGTTTTTTATCTACACTGTAGCTGCACATGATGATAAAGCCTTGAATCTTGAATGGAAATACGGAGCGAGTGAAATTGACACCAGTAACAGGAACAGAAAGGGACTTTGTTTAACTGGAAACTGACTTTTATTAACCTGGCAAGTTAAGTGTGCGTCGATTACGTCAAGATAGCGGATCCTCAGTGGCTTAAATCCTTGCCTCTACATTCAGTCAAAAACAGTTTGCTCATTAGTTCTTATCTTTGCACCCATTGGCTCCTACACTCAGGTTAGCAAACACCATTAATCAGACCTCAGACGTTAGAAAGAGTACACCCTGAGTTAGACATCTCCAAAAAGTTAATCAAAGCAACAAACTACATAGATTTAGACACATGGGTGCGGTGGAAAAGCAAACTGGTTCTGAAGTGGATTGCCAGCTGACCTGAACTCATTTCCATGGAGAAGGGGTGAAACGTACACCCTGGAGTGAGCCACAAAGGAAGCCCTACGCCACCACACCTTTGTAGGTATCACATTAACACGTTGCATCTCTTTCAGCTGCAGAGTGCTCTAACTCTCAGTGAACGCTCACAAAGACGGCCGTTCACACCGAGACATTTCAGGAGGGTTTCCACACGTTGCATAACAAAGCGTCTACATGCAGTTTTCAAGATTCAAAGGCTTTATTGACATATGCTCATAAGCTACAGTGTAGAAATGGCACTGACATTCTTCTGACCTGAGCTCCTCCAACAATGAAACATATAACAAAATAAAAAGTAGTGCAAGAAGTCTATGTAAATAAAAAATGGTAAATAGTTGTCCTCCAGGTGTTGTTACCTTGCAGAGAGGGCAAGTAAACACATCCTTTCCTCAAGTAGAAGTACAGATACTCGTGTTTAAAAATACTCTGGTGAAAGTAGAAGTACTGACTAAACTTCTTAAGTCAAAGTAAAGAGGCTTTGAAATGTACTTCAGTAAAAAGTACCCATAACTAGCAGCTGTTTTAAAGAGTACCTGACCTCCCTTTATATTAATAGAACAATAATGTCATTGTTAGCTAACGAATGTTTCCATGCTGAACAACGGCAACATGACAACGTTTCCATTGGTCCCTCTTCTTTAGAGAAGACCAGGAAATTATGGATACACAGATCGTGTTCAAATCAATAGGCACACAATGACTCTAAATAATAATGATCACGCCACCAAACACACATTCAAACTAAAGGAACCAGCCTGTTTGGAAAATGTAAGAAGTAGAAAGTACAGGTATTCCTGTTCAAAATGTAAGAAGTAAAAGTAGTCAGAAAAATAAGTAGTGGAGTAGCAATGATACCAGAAAAATATACTTAAGTACAGAAAGAAAGTATTTGTACTCCACTACTTCCTACCTCTGAGTGTGTTGTATAGGTTTTTGTGTAAATGGTGTGCAAAGGCTGAAATCCCAAAGCTACCTCCAGAGTTTCTCTCCCACAAATTTCACTTAGTTTTGATGACTAGAAGGGGGACAACATTTGAGGCTAATTGCGGCAAACAAGCGCTAATGGTTTTTAGAGTACCTTCATTTCCTCCATGAGCTGTATGGCAATGCCTGCAGATCCAACTACTGACTGTGACAGCAAGTGGGCCAAACTATAATAATTTCATTGTTTCGCACCTGCGTTTTTCACCGTTAAAGTGTCTTTGCCTCAAATCTATGTTTTTACTTCAAACCACTTCAACTCTTCAACTTCAACATTTCCAATGGCAAACGATTTCAGAGACATAGTGTACAACTGTAAGAGAAGATAAGGGTCAAAGAGCCACACATGTATGTAAAAGATGGGATTGTACTGTACGTTCAAAGATGTATCCATTATAAAAATACTAAATAAGTTCATCTTAAGGCCAAAGAAACCTTACTACATAATAGATCTTGTTTGATAGATTCACAGTCACATTCAAAGCAGAGATAACTAAGCCATTGACACTCATTTGCAGCTATTAAATCATATCCCTTAAAGCCAAAATGCTTTCTTTGTGATGCAAACCGTAAATCCTACCAGTCATACCACGACTTAATCTTATTAACATTCATATTGCTGTTTATCTGGATCAAAAGATGAACCTAGGACCTTTCGTTGCTTCTTTCTAATGTGTGGATTTCAAACGATGTGTGTTGCTTTCAATCCTAGAGCATTGCAGACCAACGGTGAAGAATTTAAATTATTTCATTTTCCTTTTTGAAAAGCTCATCTTAGCCCACATGAATGCCTTGCTTAAATTAAGGAAATACTCCAATCCTTGGATGTTGGAATGCAGTTGAATTTCCACCTCTCCAGTAGAGCTGAATGAGCCAAAGTGTTTTCTGTTTCCAGTCTCTTTTCAGAATAGCATGCAAGCCATTAGCACATTCCCCTAATGTTGGGAATACAATAGTTTTGTTCCATGACATTTGAACAAGTGTTTTAGTTAAGTGCTGCTCTTTGAACTGTCATATCTGGGAACTAGTTCAGTGAAGCATGTTGTGTTCTTTTTTAGTTTTTTTTAAGTCTGCCGGCTCATTTGTCTTGTCACATTGACAATGATCCCTTATTAATTTACTCTTTTGTCCTGTCTGAAAGTCAGCGCCTGTCTGCTTGCCTGCTCTGGTGTTTTGTTCTGCCATCTTTACCCATTGGAAACCCCACTCCCCACCTCCCTATTCAGCGTTTATTGTCTCATTTTCTTCTTTGTTCCTTCCCCACAGTTGTTATAGAGAAGAAAATGTGAACAGTTATGAGGATTGGTTGTATATTATAATAGCTTCTGGCAGGTTCATTTGGGAAACAACTGCTCCTAAAATCCTGGACTGCCTATCACTTGTTTGAGTAATATCAGAGACATTGACAGGTCTTTAATATGGGTCAACGTTAAGCTGATGGGAGCTCTACAGGAAATTGCTCTCATCTTCTTCTTACTTTGTAAGTGTTCTGCCATCACAGTGCTGACGTGGAGAGTTCAGTCGAGGCTCGGCCAGCTCACTTTGATATGGTTCTTATCTATGAAGGTCTCTTGCTTTGGGGATAAAGTGGAAGGTAAACCAGCAGGAACTCTCTTCTCACTGTCCCTAATCTGTGTCATCAATTCATGCTGAGTTTTGGGTTTTTAAAGACCAATTCCAACAAGTTATGAAAGTTTTAAACATTTTATTGCCGTCTGGTCAGCACAAGTGGATATATATTAACTTATATTGTAAATGGAGGCCTTTATATCTGCCTACTTTGAAAGCAGTTTTATGTAATACAACAGTTTAACCAATGAGAGAACAGGATGGAACTTTAAATGAAGGGCAAATAACCTGAAATACTACTTGAATAGTTTAACTGACTTATTAATTAATTAGCAGAGGATGTAATAATGCTTTACAGATTTAAAAACCCTGTGTTGAAAGTGTATACCTTGTGATACTTAACAATATAAATACATTTGATGTGTTGATTGTTTCTTTATCAAATTATTGTAACTGTACGGTACAAATGATGGTGGAACATTTATCTCTGGCTGTCTTTTTCTGTAATACAATCATTTTTTCACACTTAGTTTAAGCAAGTTTACTAATCGTACCTCTTTTATTGATGGGGTTACTTATGCGCTGCATTGACATGCTATATTGATCTGTTATAAGCCGTCTTCTTCCGCCTTTTCTGCCTTTCCCCTGCAGGTTTTTTAATATATGTTTTAGTCCTGTGACAACCATTGCAAACACACTTAGCACTTGGTGTGAGCATGAGTAAAGAGCCAGGCTTGACAGAGCACTAATGGAATTCTCCCATGACTCTTTAGAAGCCTTTTCATATTCTTAATGAGAAAACGCAGAACGACTGCATAATGTGTGCGGTGTGTGTGTGGCGCTGTGTGAATGTGCCTTGTGTTTTGCATTTGTACGCGCATGTGGAGGCATAGATACTTATTAATGCTGCATTAGCGACTAAGCCTCTTAGCCACTTCCAAGCTAGACCCTTTCTCTGTTTGAGGTTAACACTGTTGTTGAGACCCGTCGCCACAATTATCCCCAATCTTGTCATTTCAGCCCTCCCACTGCTCACCTAACACCTCCCCTGACTGAAATACTCAAAGCTAAATTACCTAGTGTGAACCCCACTGCCAACATATTCCCGTGTGTATCCTTCAGGGACCAGCTTACTGTTATTGATCTTGTCCATGTTAATTGAAGTAAGGGGTCTTTTTCAAGCAATTCCTCTATTGATCTAAAATACCATCAGTCAGAAGCTTAATTAAGCAGCTAATAGAGGGAAATGCTATTGATCCTATGGAGTCATGGAATATATGTGAGTGTGTGTGTATCTGTGGCTAAATATTCACAATCTGAACATTCAATATCTTCAGTCAAAAAATGTAATTTAACTGAGATGTGGGAGCAGCCCGGTTCGCTTATGACTAATTAAATGTTTGTTGTTTAAGCAATAAATATGCCAATATTAAGGTTGAAGTTGAGGAAGAAAGAACACTTCCAAATCTTTGTGGATAGATTAAACACCTTTTTTTTAACATGATAGTTTCCCACATGCTACAGTCCCTAATAATATAATTATTAATTCATTCATGACTAATTGTTCAAACATGAAACTTTATCAATATACTTTATTTCACCCCCATGACACATTGCGTCGCTTCAGTTGCTACACCTGGTGTGTCAGACTTGACGTTGCATTTAATAAAGAAATGAGGCATGCAACGTCCGCTCCCTGGTGAATTGAGATGATGTTACAGAGAGAGGATCGGCAGGAACAAACAGTCCTGAAGGAGTTCAGTAATGTAGAGAGGAGAGAGGAGAGAGGAGAGTGGATGCATAATTGCCTTTAAGATTTTTTCACCAGACTGTCTTTCATAGAAGCTTTTCTACAGGGACGGGCGACACAAACTAGTCTGGCCTATAAACACTATTATACATTTCTGTCATGACATTATGACTGATCAATGTGTTTAAAGAGAAAAGTCGTACCTATTGTGCACAAGAGAACAAAACTGTGCTGCTGTATTTGTTGTAAAGTGTCCTAATTGCAAAGTATGTTTTCTGTATGTACAGCACTTTGGCTCGACCAAAAATCGTTTTAAAAATGTGCTATATACAGTACATAAAACTTGATTTGATTTGATACTTTTAATTTCTACAGTAATTTTGTATGTCGGTTGCACAAAATGTAATCACTGTTCTGGTATGGGTCAAGGTCAATGACGGCTGCTGGAAATATATAATCCATTTCACAAATTAAATGTTTTGTCAATCATGAAAAGTTTAACGAGCTTAACAAAGACAGTAATAGCTATTTGTCTAAGAGTACTGTAGGTGATGCAGTGACTCGCTATATTAACTCTAAACATGTTTGCTATGTAATATACTCACACCTGCTGCAGTCTTTTATCTACTCAATTGAATCATCCAGACAGTCTAAAATGAATAAGTGATGCACAAACAGGATGTTTTAATCATGTTTCAGGCTTTAATTTAAAATGTTAATTACAAAGAGGCTACATAATGTGTTTTGAGATTTTAAACAGCCTACAATTAGTTGTGGATGATGATGGTGT